TTAAAAAAAAAAGCAGGAAGTGGAGTTTGATGAATTTTCTTTTTTAACGCTAATGATCGCTTTAATTGTAAGGCATTTAAATTCAAGAGAGGATTGACTCTATCCACTGAGGTGATCAGATATCGAACCATTTTCAAGATGGACCAGCGACAAACGAAAAAATTCGACCAAAAATTCAAATTTCAATACATTTTAATAATAAATCACCTTTATGTGTGGCCTGGAAATTCTGCTGATTCGAATTGAAACAGTTACCTTTGCAAATTTTATATCGATCACAAAGAATCGCGCGAATGGAATGATGGATTTATACGCCGCTCTATTGCGAATCGTGGGCGAGTTCCCGTTGAAATAGGACGAGACAGAATTATTACTCATCGTTTATTGTGTTCGTTTTCAGTTCTAATTAATGAATGTCTGGCTAAAGTACGAAGGACTATCTATCAATCGCGCTCGCGATCAAACTTGACGTCGCGTTAAATCCCCCCCTCTTCCCCTCCTCCCCCTCCGCCTCCCTCGCCGTTCGGAATAGCGCGAAATGCAACGGGAAGTCGGAATGCGAGTCCACGCGAGGAATGACGCGGCAGTCGCGATTTTTCGCCGTTTCGTCGATAAAAAAAAAAAAAAAAAACAGGCCGGTCGTATGCCAGGAGAAACATACGATCTGTGAGTCGCGTCCGTATATAGATCTCACGAGCGAATGAAGAACGAAAGAACGGCGGCGAAGTAGGACGGGGAGAATTTATTGTCGCAGCCTCCGCCCGTACGATACGAGGCTGGAACGAATAATTCGAATGCAAAACTCGGATTCATAAATAGATTCATCAGATGCAGTTATATACCCGCACGAGAAAGATCTAGGAAGAAATGTCTAGAGAGCAAACCTCCATAAAAAAACGGACAAGGATGACCTAAAAAGGAATATTTATACGCTTGAAAAATATACATGACAAAGGAAATAATACGTATGTAATATTTCATCGTATAAATTTACACGCTTTTTTGTGAATATTTATTATGAAGGTAGTTATTCGTGAGATTTCACTGGGGTTGGGAGGGGGGAGGGGAGAGAAGTGGGGTGGGGGAACCGGTAACTCTCGCGCATATTGCACCGGCAAGTTTTTAATTAACCGTTATATTGTTTTGGTCACGATGAAAAATTTATGATGCCGCAATATCGCGATATATTACGTCTACGATAAAACAAAGGAGTACGGTCGTAAATAAAGGAATTGAGTTGTAAGAGGAGGAAATCGATGACGCGTGCTTCTCCGCGGCGATTTCACTGTTAATTAGTATTCGTAATCGTGCGCGGAATGGCAATCGGACGACGATCGACGATCGAAAGTCTTTCTTTCTTCCTGCCCGCGAATATCGCGCTCGCTCGCTTTCCTTCGGAATCGCGAGGGACAAAGGAAAGCGTTCCAGCGCTTGCTCGGCGGATGCTCTTCACGGGGAGAGCACCGGGAAGTGCTCCTGAGAGATGGATTCGGGATTATTGGTAAGGCGTCCATCCTACGAAACGAAAAAAATCGCTCTCCGCGCGATTATGTCGCCGCGCACATTGAATCACGCACGGACAGACAAACGGCGGCGATGGTCAACGCCAGGGTATCGGAACTTAGAAAGTCGAGGAAACGTCGTCGGTTGCATGCGAACTGGTCGACTCCCACGCCATACTTACCGGCACTTGCCTTGTTCTTCTTACGTAAATACTCGCGGGGCGCGTTATCGTTCTCCGATCGCCGATCGGCTCGGACGGAGGAGGCGGAGGTGCAATTAAATTCACACCCGAACGAAAGTGAGAGTGTGGTCAAGGGACGGGGATAGATAGACCGCCCTCGGGATATTGTCCAAGTGCTTTACCTCGCGTATATCCGTATAAAATTATTTCAAAACGACTTTGCCGAGAGTTCTGCCTTGTTAAATCAATTACTTTAGACCCCCTTTGAGAGAACGACGCCGTCGTTTCCCTCCTTCCACCTCCTTGCCCCTTGCGCGTTACGAAACAGGGGGAAGGGGGAGGGGGGAGGGAATTTCACAATGGTGAACAGGAATAATACTCGCTCGCCGCGTATGACGCGGAAGGCGATAATTGACGACTATTATTCGGCACGACGCCCGACTCGAGCGCCGGTTGTCTTGCCGCATCTTGCTAAAATAAAAGTGTTACGTGCCATTCGCTTGGAAAAGGGGGGAAAAAGAGACTAGGCGCAACTGGAACGCCGCGCCTTCTCTCCTTCCGCGCAGGAAATGATCTCCCGTCTGAAAACGCGCGAGTCATTGCGGGGCCGCTTTGATAGATCGATCACGATTGTCCCGCAGCCGACGTGAAAAACGAGCGACGAGCGGCGAGCGGCGAGCGGCGAGCGGCGAGCGGCGGGCGACGTTTAATTGGTCCTTTACGTAACCGGGCGCTCTTTTTTCCGTCCGCTCGCCGAATCGAAATCGCCTCTTTTTTTCCGCACTCATACCACGGAAGGTGAGAGAAAACGCGAAATTCTTTCGGGGGCGAAGAAAGTTTTGAAAACGATCGAGCCGGCCTTCGTCCGAGCGCCGTGGGCAAAGAAACTTGTACTCTTCGCGCTCCGATTATTTTCCTATTATTTTCCTTTCGTTATTTTTCGAATCGATAATCAAGCTTGTCGGGAATAATTAAGAGCGGTAAATGTACTTGCGCGAACGGTTAAAGGAACGTTTATGACTCGTTTGATTACGAGTCTTTGCGGGGCCGCTCTTTGTTCGAGCTGCAGTCGGCGATGGCATTTCGCAACGCGGAGCAATTAAGTTTCATTAAAGAATATTGGCGGATAGCGAGCGGTTTAATCTAGCACGAATTGACAATTGCGAAGTATCTAGAAGTAAATATCGATTTTAACGATGTTTGATATCACGACGCAATTCGCGTTGGCGTAGAGTCGTTTTCAAGGAGATCGTCATCGCCTCTTTTCTCTTCTATTTTCTATGTTTACAAAATAAAATTTTTTTTATATAATAACCTATTATATCCCCTCTCTATCTCTTTCTATAGCAATTTAATTCTCGAATACATTTATTATCAAATTCTCGAAATATATTTATGATTATATTATATATTATATTCAATATAATTATATTTCATAATTATGTACCACTGAAGATGGCTCAATAAGGAGCCGAAACGTATGGTTTGAATCCTTAAAGATAAAAAAAGTGTTACAAAAATATGAATTACGCACTTCTTACCGCGCTTCTTTTCTCATTTGTCCCATTTCTTAATTACATTCATATTGAGAATCTGATTTTCGTTATAGTTTATAATTATATTATTCCACAATCGAGATATGTCGCCGACAAGTTATATTGTAATGGTGACAAATAGGTCACCATAGGTAGTTTCCATCTCGCCGTCGGTTTGTTGCATCCCAAAGAGCCTGAAACTGTGCCTTTACAGATCACCTGTCATGTTACACGTGATTTAAGTCGTCTGACTTTACGAGCGAGGTTTGAGCGCGCAATAGCGGTACGGGGATAAACCGCGGCGGTGATAAAGTTTGAATGCCGCCACTTACACATCCCCAATGTCATCGTACATGACGAATCTTCCCTGCCTTGTCTCTTCGTCGCGCTATTTAAATTCATTTCGTCGTGACCGTCGTCGTGTAAATTCGCGAGACCGACGACGCAAGTCGCGAAGAACAGTTTACAGTCGTTGGCATACTGTCGGAAACAACCGACAACAGGTATTTCACTAAAGACAACGACAAGCTAATAAAATCGAATCAAGTTGAAGATCAATATTAATCGATCGTCACCTAAGATAAGACTGAGTAATTACGAATTACCTGAGATTCACTGAGCGAGAAACATGCGACATCTTCCTTGGTTGATCCAACGCCCCGTGCGGGTGCAGCCCTGCCCCGTTCTCGGTTGTCGCCTCCTCTTTCCCGCAGAAATCCGCGATCCGTTATTCTCCGCCTCGGCAAGTGGATCGCTCGGTCTTTTTATTACGTAACGCGCGACCCATTCGTCCGCGTGCGCGCGAGAATCGCGCCGATCGGCCGATCATTCGCGGCGAGGATCGGCGAGGAACAAAGCGTGATCGCGGCTCCGTATGCACTGCGGCCGAGGAATCGAGTGAAGGTAATGAAATAGCTAAGTGAAGCGATCGCTCTCTCTCTCTCTC